TATCTGTACTATATGTGATTTGGTGACTGTCCATGGTGTACCCTGCCTCATACCCAGCATTAGTTGGGACAGGCTTCATTTTTCCTGACTTTCAACAGATGAAAAAGCAAATCCAATTAACACATCACCATGGGAAATCTGCCACAGTCATGTCACAAAAAGCGTTCTTGCGAGGAAATTTGTGTGGGTTTGTTCAGCCAGGATCAGCGATGCTCTCGATGATCTCTCCACAGCGCTGCCAGCTCATCAGGGGCGCTCCAGACTGCGAACAACATCTTGATGGTATGGTTAGGATGATGTTTTCAAACTCCAACTCTGCCCAGGGAGACGGAGCTGTGCGCAGCAATGACTAATCAGCTGGTGTGGTCACGCCTGAGGAGAAAGAGGGTGGATGTGTTTAAAACTGAGCAATGAATTACTTCAATATTGTGTTATGTACTTATATACATTTTAAATGGACACCTGTTAAACTGAAATCCTTTTAGTTTCCCAGCACAGAAGTGATGTTTAATAAGAACTAATGAGATTGCATTAGTTGCAATCTCTCAGCAGCATAAAAATGGCGAATGCAACTGCAGATTTAAAAAAAAAGGTTTATAGGAGGGCCTCCTGCACTCCACAAGACCTCAGTCTCTACAGCAGATAAAGTCTCCACTGTCCCTTCTTGTATAGAGCAGCAGAGTTATCCAACCAGTCCCGTTTGTAGCTCCGGTAAACGCCTTTACTTTACATACCACAGTCACCTAAACACATACCTGATTTATAATATGGGGCAGGCACAGCCATCTGCACAGTGACCTCCAGCCCCTCCACTTGTGTTTTACGGGGAGCCAACAGGTAGATGAGCCCCCCCCCACAGGTTGCACACCTGCATCATTTGTGCGGTTATTAGAATCCGCTCACAAACCCATGATGCTCTCTTTATCACTGTAGCATTCAGGCGGTCTGTTTGACAGCCAATCTGGATCGGAGGAAGACATAGAATATGTGTTAAGGATTGTAAGTATAATTTAAACTATACATGAAAGAATGCAATGCTGGATAGATGTATAAGGCCATGATGCAGTACATTTAAAGACTGAATGACATGCACTATCTGACAGAAAGTCATGGCATCCTGAAATAAGCGATTGAACATGCCGGGCAGGACAGACTGCAGAACATCAATGCGTCTCTGTGCTCAAATGACAGAGTTGACGCACATTGTTTTTTTTGCTGCTGTATACATTCCTCCTGATTCAAATAAAAAAAATGCACTTCAGGAATGCACTTCTGTTTTGTGTTGCCCTGTTATACTTGTGTAGCATAAAGGAACTAGGCTACATTGCATTTCATGTGCAACCCTGCGTTGTACAATAAAACAAATGATGATCCTTCAATAGAAACATCCTCCCCTCTGTCATGAACCTTGGAGTGACCTTCGATAAACCTTTTCAATTTGATAAGCAGGTCAGCACCGTAGTCAAGACCTGCTTTTTTTTAAATACGACTAGTATTTAACAAGTCGTTTTTATCTTTTAAAGACCTAGAAAGGGTTATTAACGCCTTTTGTAACTACAAGGCTGGATTACTGCAACGCTCTGTATGTGGGTATGGACCAGGCGTCAATTAAACGCCTGCAGCTAGTGCAGAACGTAGCTGCGCGTCTTCTGACAGGCCATAAAAAGCGTGACCACATCACCCCAATTCTGGCCTCATTGCACTGGCTTCCAATCCGGTTTCGAATTAATTTAAAATCCTTTTAATTGTTTTTAAAGTCCTAAATGGGCTGGCTCCGGCTTATATAGCAGAACTCCTCCGTCACTACACCCCAGCCAGAGCTTTAAGGTCTGCTGACCAGCTGTTGCTGATAGTGCTCAAGACCAGGCTCAAAACCCGAGGTCACCGAGCCTTCGCAGCAGCTGGCCCCAGGCTCTGGAACACTCTGCCCCTCCATGTGAGGTCGGCCCAGACCCTAGGGGTTTTTAAATCGACACTAAAGACTCACTTCTTCTCTCTGGCCTTCTAGTCAGCGGAGTACGACTCCTGACATTTCCCTGTGTTTGATTTTTATATTTGCTGTTGTAATTTATTGTCTTCTGTTTGCTATCGCAGTAAAGTGATTTTATTGCAGGTACAGCACTTTGGCTCGACCAAGAATCGTTTTTAAAATGTGCTATATAAATAAAACAGGATTTGATTTGATTCAATATTGAAATCTGGATGTTGGCGTTGGTGGGGTCTGTTGCCTCTGCAGGGAATACACTTGGAAAGGGAGCAGGGAAATGTTGAGGGTAAGACCAGTCGCTGCTGGGGAGTATTCATTAGGGTGGATTGGACCTCAAATAGGGGCAATAGGGGCACACCATTACCACAAACACAATGAAACTCAATATTTTGTTCAGCACCTTCCAGCCTTTGTTGACCATCTCTTCAGGCATGGCAATGTAGGTCTTCATACCAGGAGAGAGATAGAGACCTGTACTGATCCACTCCTCGGCTGTAGACACAAATACAAATACAGTAATAAGATCAGTCATATTTACATGGATAACGTTTGAAACACACATTTGAAACTGGACTTCTCAACAGTAAGGTCTGCAGATAAGTGCAATTTAGTCATAAAGACGTTACTGCCACATAAACTGCATGTACTGTATAAAAGTTTTACTCAAAAATAGCTCACATATTTGTCCTAATCAACAAGATCCTACCTGCTGTGTTAACATCAATCTTGATTGTTTGGTCATAGACAACCGGCATCAAGGGGTTATCCTTGATGAGGTACGGCAGGATAGCATCAGGGTTTGGGCAGACCTTATAAATCTCTGTCACCACACTGAAGAGCAGGTGGTCTTTGGGAGTCTTCACAGGGCAGCTGTCACACACCTTGGAAGAAAATGGGGAATTATCAAATATGTTTCTGTGACACATCACTGGTTGTTAGCTGTGTAATCTTCTAGTTACATTTTTTTGTCTCATTTTGCCACAAACCTGAGGCAAGCCTGACTTCATCACAATGTCAGTGAGGGAGGACACCACTTGTGTATAGGAGGAGCATTCCTTGGCATTCATGTGCAAGAAGATGGAGCAGTCTCTGCCCAGCCGTTTGAAGTTGTTCTCTTCATGTTTGCTTAGTTTCTCCCCATGGGCTACATGGCCAGCGAAGCGGTGGAGAAGGTGGCGGAAGTGGTACTGTAGATGTCTTTAGGCTCAGGGGTCTTGTGTAAACCTCCTGTTATTGTTCCTTTCAACAGACTCAACCCCATTTGGTTCAGAATCTTGTTACCTAAAAGGAAAAACCCAACTTTATGTATTGTGTTTCATTTTTGATTATCAAAGGAACTTTCAGATTGAAGTTTAAGCAGGTCTATTACAGCTTATTACAGCGTACATGTTGTAATGTCCTCAGTGCCTGCCTGCCTGACTTCCTCACCAGCTGCAGTTCATATGATTCATTATACATTTATATCTACCTCCCCTTAGCCTAGCGCTCATGTCTTCTGCTGGCCAATACTTAGCCGAGTGATTGTTTGTTCATCAAGGTCCATTTATATGACCAAGATGGCCTAAACTCCAGTAGGGGTGTCAGGCACAGGTAAGCATGCAAGTCTTCAGTTCTTAGCAGTAGCCCATTTTATAAGCTTTTAAGAATTACCAATACATTATTATTATCTATAATCTGACTCCCATACTCCCTTATTCTATTGCTCCCTAATGTATTAATGACTGCAATTGTGTTTCTAACGTAGCAATGTAGAATTCATTGTGTGGCATTTTAAAATGTGCAGTTTTGAATTGTGCCTGATAAGTTATTGCCTAATACCACCACACCAGCACAAGCATTTAGACAGTATCATCTGGAATATGTTTGACATGCATTATGATAAATGTCTGGTGCATAGCCATACCTGGAAAATGAGTTAGTTAGTTTTGCCCAGGGTGTTTCTGTGCCCAGTGCCAGGCATGTCCACCAATCAGCAGGCCTCCTCCCTCTGCCGCAAACTCTCGGATTTCCTTTGCATTTGTATCACTGTGCGCTGGGCCCACAAAAACACTCAGACCTTCCTTGAACTCTGTCTCCTCACACTTTAACCCTGACTTGCTGAGAATACCGAGGGCACGTTTTGATGCTACTCCAACGACCCCCTGCCGGCCTCCATCCAGCCAATGAATGGCATTGTTCCAAAACGGAGCCAGTGTCTGTGTTGAGACAGTTATCACAAGACAGGAAGCAATTTGTTAATCACAAAAAACAATTTGATTCTGGTGGCTATAAGTTAATATGTAACCAAACAAGTAATCTTATATACAGTGTTCTGAATGAGATCATACTTTCATTAAGATGATTTCACTACAAGATCAAATTCTATGTTGAATTTTCACTTTTAACGGTAGAAAATAAACTCTACCTGTCGTCGCAGAAATCCTTCATGTGAAACCACAATGACTCGTCCCTGCCCATAGTACGATCCTGCCAGGAACGTCTATCCATCCTTGGTGGTACCAATAGGAAAGGCAAGCGAGCCGTGGATCAGAATCTCAGAACTTACTGATGAACCCTGGAGGTCAAACTCTGAAACCCCCATGAGTAAAAACTCCAAGTCATCCTCAAAATCCCTACCGTTTCTGTTTTTGAAAGAGGACAAGGAAAACATAGATTGCCATGTGGGTAAGTCTATCAATCAACATTTTTAATAGGGCGATTTTGTTGCTCTATGAAAGTCTTGTGAAAACGCTAAGTATGGGGTTAGTAGTGTTATTTTTTTCTTTGCTATTTATCTTTTAGAATTTTTGCCATTTTGTTATGTATTATCTGATATAATTATCATGATATTTGTATCAAAAAGTGACATACAGTATGTATAAAAGTAAATGGTTATAAACCTAATTTAATATATAGTGTGATACCATAAAGATAGAACTTCAATGTGTCAAGACTCATGAGGGTGGAGACGGTGTAGACTACCTTCTTCGTAGCGTTTGGTGAGTTACATCGTTTGTTGGGTTTCCTTGTTTTAGACATAAGTGTGTTTTGAAAACATCTACAACCAACACGTGCAATTGCTCACTTTACATCCCTTTCCTACAATGAAGGTCAAAATACAGGACGGGAGAATTGTAGGCTTTTATATCTTACAAGTGTGCCTGTTCCTACTCGTCCAAGAATTTGTCCAATGAAGTACCCCTTAGAGACAGGGTTTAATTGAGAGATTTTTCGCACCTCCGTAAATGTGTGACTCTTAGACTGTCTGTCACACACTGTCGGACATGCACCCAACACCAGTGACTCAGGGAGGATAACAGTATAAGGGGCAATACGAGTCAGGACAAGAATGAGAATGAAATAAAAGTCACGAAGATAGTCCAGTCTATCACAGCAGACACTTAACGGACAAACCTTTTTGGTAGATTATTAGGTCTGCTTTCTGTTGAACTGAAAGTCCATTTTTATATATTATATTGTCACAATAAAATCCTACAAACAAACATTACTTCTTAACAACATTGAGGACCCCGAAACTACCGTGTCCATTTTCTAACTGGTAAACAACAACACTTAATTAAAATCTTTCACTCATTGTGTTTAACATCGTGTATCACTTTGGTCAAAAATAAACCTAAGTGTAGTGAGAGAGAGAGAGTGAAAAGTTCGTCCTTATGGTTATCTGTGTTGTATTGTAATGATCTCACCTTTGACAACATGTACGAGAAAATAGGTAGAAGTGAGTTGGAAGCTAGGGCAGAGTACAGCGATGGTCAGGTGGTTTTATTTTTACTCTCCGGATGGACAGCGGACTACTTTCCGAACTTTCTCGACCTGCGAGTACCGGGCACACAAGGACACTGGGACCACCGACTTACCTCTGGTACGGAAAGAAATCCGTTAGTTGTCGGTTCCGGTCCAGACTACCGTGCGGAGAGCCATGCGCCGTCTCCTTCATAACACCAGGAGGCCAGTACTCCCGATAGACTCGGGGAAAGAGACTAGACCATCTTCTTGCGCACTGGACCGACTCTCCTTCTTCGCTAGAGTGTTGGCAGTGAAGCACACCCCCAGTTGTATTTCACTTCCGACAGCGACTATTGGAGTAGTTTAGACCGGAGTCATCATTCGACAACCCAAGGAAATCACTGTCATCCCTCCAACCACAGATACACTGTCTACAGGATGCCGACACTCGTCTGCGTTTTACTGGACACCTAAAGACTTTCGACCTCCTCCTCAACGACTATCGTCCAGTCGCACCGTGACCCGAAGGTTGGTTCGGTTTCTTCTTTGTGTGACGATGTTAAAGGTCCCTTGTTTCACAGACGACACCCGCCCCTAACGATGAAATCGCATAGCCCTTCCATCTCTAGGACCGACAAATGGAGTCTGAGGGTAGGAGTACCTGCGATGAATATGTCATCCTCATAGAGTAAGAGAAAGTGGGCTGTGTCGTAATCTTCTCCAAGATGGAACTTCCCTTTGGAAATAAACTCTAGAGAACGCGGGTGGCAGGATACTACGATACTAATTATAACTTTAAGACTATAAAACATAACATTGTATCTTTTCAGAGA